CAATACGTGAGAGTTTTAGTGCTCCATGTCTTTTTGCCAACTTGGGTATTTTAATTAAAAAAAATTCTCTAGCTCTTTGGAGAGTGTGCAGTATTACCCCGTTACGACTTTCTTCTGCATTCTTGATGAGTAATGGCCTTGAGTATCTACAGTTATTGGCCATTTGGTGTCCTTTTTATGAAGTACCTATTTAGATTTTTTGGCTTTTAAAATTGGGTTGTTAGTTTTTATTTTATTGCAAGGAGTTTTTTTTATATGACTTTCTGGTTTTTAATTTGGATGTAATTAAATTCATTTTTTTATAAATAGTACTTTTGTTTTCTGTTTAAGGCATTTTTATTTATGTTAGATTTATTCTTCTGTGTTCAATCTTAGATGCATTAAATCTTCACATTGAGTGAATTTCCACCTTGAATGACTTTTTGTGTTTACTATTTACAGAAGGCTCAAGGTTTTTTCTTATTTTGCATACTTTAGAAAACTGTGCCAATCTTATTTATTGACACAGTACTATTCTTTTGAATTGAATTGTTACTTTTGTCACAAGTCAAGTTTCGTTGTCATATGTGGGCTTTCCCCAGACTTTCTGACACATTTACTTAATTTGTTTTGTTCTAGTCTAATACCACAGTGACTTAAAGTACTGTTGCTTTATAGTAAGTCTTGAAATCAAGACCTGTAACAGCTAGACCTTCCAGGTTTATAATTTTTGTGGGAAGCTATTAAGTATCTTGATATCTATATGTCAGACAAATATTTCTACCTTTGATTTTAAAAAATGTTCTTTTCTTTGAAAAATCTAAAAGAACAGAATCTAAAACTAAGTATATATACACAGTAATACAGATGCCCACTAAAAACGTGAAACCTTATTCACCTCTTACTTATTTAATTAGACAAGAAAGATAAGGAGCTAATCCCATCAGAAGAAGATAAGGACTGATAATATTCAGTGTCTGTGAGGTTGTGAGAAAATAGGTATTCATGTACAAGGTTGGTGGCGTTGAAAGTTGGGTCAGTGTTTCTGGAGGATTATTTAGCAATGTTCATCAGAATAGTAGTAGTATGGGGGAGGGGGACAGGGAAAAGAAGGGGAAGGGTCGTAAGGAACATCTGTAAAGGACCCATGGACAAACCATAGGGGGTAGGATTGAGGGTGGGGCAGGGGAGAGCGGTGGGGGGGAAAATGGAGATATCTGTACTGGAACAACAATAAAAAAGGCAAAAAAATCATTAAGTAAAGTAAAAATAGTATTAGTAAAATATTTTCGGTCATAAAAATAGGGCTTTTAACATGAAGAATTTTATTTTGTTAACTGTAGACTTTCATAGATACTGCTTATTAGCCAGGAGAATCATAAGATGAGAGATAAAAGTCTTGATTTGCTTTTCTAGGGCAGTTAGCAACTGGGTTTCTTCGGGTGTTTTTCTTGAATACTATTAAGTTTTAGTGTTGTATTGAGGGTTGAGGATGTCAGGTATTAATAAAATATGTACGTCTATCACTTCATTAGCTCTTGCCCAAGGAAGTTATCCTCTTGATGAGTGGAAAAATTGAAAAGAGAAAGAGACAAAGCAATCTCCAATAAAATATGAATAATAATATAATAAAATGCTTCAACTCGCTGTATGGAGGGTGAGTCCTACGGGAGATTAGTAAGAGAGAATATCAAGATTTGGCTAAGTTATGAGGACAGGCTTCAGTGGAGGAGGCGCACAACGTAATTACTTGGTATTTGGACACATTGCAGACGGATCCCCATGGTCAGTCTAGTTGACATTCATCGCTGTCTGTATCACGAACTTTTTCTTAGAAGTGTGATAAGAACTTCTAAGATGTACTCTCAGCCACTTTCAAATATGCAATACAGTGTCATTAGCTGCGGTCACCAGAGTGTACCTGACACCCCCAGACTTCTTTACCTTGTCATGGAAAGTTTGTGCCTTTTGACCCCATTCACCCATTTTGCCCACTCCCTACCCCCCTGCTCTGTGAGACTCCAATTTCTTAGTATTTCTGAGCTTTTTTTTTGCTTTGTATTTCCAGATGCCACATTTAAGTGAGATCATATGGTGTTTGTCTTTATCTGACTCATTTTACTTAGCATAATGCCCTCAAGGTCCAATCATGTCACAAATGGCACGATTTCATTCTTTTATGGCTGGATGGGATTCATTGTATATATTTATTGTATCTTCTTTGTGAATCTCCTCTTAACTCAATCTAACTGCTCAGCCCACATTACGTTCCCCTATTGCATCACGTGACATTGGCTTTGATGATCAAGGTTACAAAGCCTGGGTAGTTTGACTTCGGCTGGTGGGCACACAGTGCTGGATACAGATCTTGTATCATAGAAATGCACACCTGAAACTTACATATGTGATCCTATTAACCGATGTCACACCAATAAATTTAATTAAAACTCATGGATAATATAGCATAAATATGTTTTTAATAGTGGATTTTTGGATTTGCTGTTTATTTTGTTCAGAGTGTGAAGGACCTTGCAGTTGAATGTGTCACCAGAGTTAGAAAAATTGCCACATGAAAATGTGGTAGGTGAAGGAGTAAGTTTGGAGATGTCACTTTCAGAATCTGGTGTGAGAAATACATGTCCTGAGCTCCTAATTAGGTTCATACTGCCATTTTACCTTTTATTAATAATTGGAACCAAGGTTACTTTTTAAATATATTTTATTAATTATGCCATTACAGTTGTTCTATTTCCCCCCTTCATTCCCCTCCACCCTGTACACCCCCTCCCCCACGCTTACCCCCCGTTTAGTTTATGACCATGTGTCTCAAGTTCTTTAGATTCTATATTTCCCATACTATTCTTGCCCTCCCCCTATCGATTTTCTACCTGCCGTTTATGCTACATATTTTCTGTACCTTCTCCCCCCTTCTCCTCCTCCCACTCCCCCATTGCTAACCCTCCATGTGATCTTCATTTCTATGGTTCTACTCCTGATTTAGCGGTCCTCTTAGTTTGCTTTTGTTTTAGGTGTGGTTGTTAATAACTGTGAGTTTGCTGTCCTTTCACTGTTCATCTTTTTTATCTTCTTTTTCTTAGGTAAATCGCTTTAACATTTCATATAATAAGGGCTTGGTGATGATGAACTCCTTGAATTTGATCTTATCTGAGAAGCACTTTATCTGTCCTTCCATTCTAAATGAAAGCTTTGCTGGATAGAGCAATCTTGGATGTAGGTCTTTGGATTTCATGACTTGGAATACTTCTTTCCAGCCCCTTCTTGCCTGTAAGGTCTCTTTTGAGAAATCAGCTGACAGTCTGAGGGGAACTCCTTTGTAGGTGACTGTTCCCTTATCTCTTGCTGCTTCTAGGTTTCTCTCCTTCATTTTAATCTTGGCTAATATAATTATGATGTGCCTTGGTGTGTTCCTTCTTGGGTCCAACTTCTTTGGGACTCTCTGAGCTTCCTGGATTTCCTGGAAGTCTATTTCCTTTGCCAGATTGGAGAAGTTCTCCTTTATTATTTGTTCAAATAAGTTTTCCACTGGTGGCTGTTCCTCTTCCCCTTCTGGTACCCCTGTGATTCGGATGTTGGAACGTTTAAAGATTTCCTGAAGGTTCCTAAGCCTCTCCTCATTTTTTTGAATTCTTGTTTCTTCATCCTTTTCTGTTTAGTCATTTTTTCCCCCTTCTAGTCCACTCCTTTGATTTGAGTCCCAGTTTCCTTTCCATTACTGTTGGTTTCCTATGTATTTCCCTTCATTTCAATTAGTTTAGCTTCCATATGTTCCTCTAATTTGTGACTAAAATCAACTAGTTCTGTGAGCCTCCTGATCACCAGTGTTTTGAACTGTGCATCTGAAAGTTTGGCTATTTCTTCATCACTTAGATTTATTTGCTCTGGGGCTCTGAGTTGTTCTTGAGCCATGTTTTTATCTGTTTGTGCCAGTTACGTATGAGGAGCGGAGCCTTAGTTGTTCACCAGGGCGGGGCCACCAAGGTCGCTGGTTTGTGACGCTGCATGTAGGGGTGGGGTCAGAGAGGGACAATGGTGGTTCTCGCTGCTGCTTTCCACCTCTGGGGCCTGCGCAGTCTGTCTCACCACTGCTAGCTCCTTCACTGGTTTATCTGCCCATGAATGTGTGACCATGGTCCGCCCTCAGTGGGTCTGCCCGCTTCTCCACACCTGGGATCCACCCACGGCTGCTGGCGCACCTGGGTCTTGCGCCCGGCTTGGTCCAGTGGATCTTTCCTGCCCGACCCTGCTCTGCCGCTGGCTCTGCCTCTCTTACCAGTTTGGCTGAAGGGTTCGTTGTTGTCAGACGTGCGTATAGTTCAATTTTCTGTTATTTGGCTGCGTTCTTGTTGCTAAAACTTTGTTGTTTTTAAACTTGGTTGTGTGAGAAGGTGAAGTGCTTCTACCTGTGCCTCCATCTTGGCGGAAGTGCTCAGAACCAAGATTACTTTATTCCACCAGCTCTCTGGGGAGATTTAAGTTTGTGCTGAGACCCATAATAGCTGATTTTGAAATTTGAGTATAACTGCATGAAAATTCTTGTTACAGAAAATTTTTCCTCATACAGTAAAGTTAACTATTTAAATTAGGTGAATACTTTTTCTTTTTTTTTTAAAGATTTTATTTATTTATCTTTAGAGGGGAAGGGAAGGAGAGAGGGAGAGAAACATCAATGTATGGTTGCCTTTCATGCATCCCCTGCTGGGAACTGGCCTGCAGGGAACCAGCCTGCAACCCGGGTATGTGCCCTGACTGGGAATCGAACCGCGATTGTCTGGTTTGCAGGCCCGTGCTCAATCCACTGAGCTACACCAGCCAGGGCCTGAATACTTTTTCTTAATTAAAACTCAGTAAGTCATAATTTTAAGGAGAGATTCTTAAATCAATATGTATTGCTCTTGGTACAGAGTCAGCAGAACCATTAAAGTTAACTATATACTCTGCTTTTTAAAATGTGTTTATGTTAAAGGAATAGTCATGCATCTTTTGTTCTTGTTATTTTGAAGGCAAGAGGAGCAGACGTTCCTGAAATTCCCGGAGACCTTAGTCTTAAGAGTTGTGGCAGCACAGCTAGTATGAAGGTCAAACATGTGAAAAAGTAAGTGTAATTTTACAGTGGTTTCTAAATGGATTGCTATCAGTTGAGATCAGTTCTTTAGTTCTCTTAAAACTTTTCTTTAGATTTTTTACTAAGTCCTTATTCTTCATACCTTAAATTACACTGGTAAGACTTGAATTGTGACTCAACGGTTAGTGGAAGAGATCTGAAGATTGTCTCTGGTCTATAAACATACTTTAATTTTTTGCAACTTTATGTCATTGACATTATGTCATTATGACGATTTAAGTGTCATTGTCTGTTAGGTTGCATTTGTTCAACAGGACAACCCAAGTATGTCCTTCTAGGTACCTTTGACACATGTTTTCATCCATTTAGAAAAATGAGGTTTGTGGTTTGCATTATGAGAATTGCTGGGTCTTGGCTTTGCCTTTGAGAGGGCTGCAATGGATGCCAGTAGTTGATACTTAGGTGAAATATCTTCAGGTGTCTGCCTTTTCAGTTTTAAACAGAAAAACCATCTTTCTACCTGGTAGAGGGTTAGATAGCTGTGTTTGCATTGCAAGTATAGAAAAGACAAGGATAAAAATGTTCATTCTGCATCCAGACCGACCCCCCCAGGACTGATGGGCTGCGACAACATCCACAGGTAAAGTCTGGCTTTGTATGTTGTGGCGGGGAGGCTGCTTCCCCGTAGAAGCTGGCTGTTCTCAGTTTCCATCCCATCCACTGGAAGCATAGGTTTTCTATGGGCATTGACTTGGGTCACGGTTAGGAGAGTATAGTGATGCTTTTCCTTTTTTATTTTCTTTTGTTTTCTGACCTGTGCACTAAACATAATTTTCATTTGATTCAGTTTATTTCTCAAAAGATTTGTGTGGGTATATGTGTGCTCATGCGCATGTGCTTATTAAATACTTTTGCTTGCATGAGCTCTTAAACCCATTTTATTTTCTCCTTAGGCTGGTAATGTCCACCGTCTCAGTGTCTGTACCTCACGTGTGTGTTTCATGTACTGCAGGTTACCCTTCACTAAAGGTCACTTTCCGAAGATGGCTGAGTGTGCGCATTTCCACTATGAGAACGTCGAGTTTGGCAGCATACAGGTAATGGCTGAAATATTTCCTCCATACTGAGTTCAGATTATACCTATTGTCCACCTGCATGTGCATCTACCTATATCCATATCCACGTATCTGCCTGGTGATACTTAGAAGTATTTTTTTTTGTTGATGGCTTACTAGCTGATGTGAAAACTTACTTTCTTATGTGTACTAATAATGTCCAATGGCTCCTAATTCAGTTGGAAACAAAGGTAGAATTAATGTAAACCCAAACATCCCTGTCAGGTCCGTGGGTGGAGTTTGCCAGAGCTCACAGCACAAGCAATCCCGGCTGCTCCCGAAGCTTGTGTTGGCTCACAGCGGTGATGAGTCAGAGTCGGGGGAGTGGGGTGAGTTCGGGGTAGAAGTGCTAACGGAGCTTTATTTTTCAGTATTTTTTCTTCTTATGACGTATGTCGTGCATATGTGCATACATGAATATATACAGGCATACACACACATGTGTACACACACACAGCGGGGTGGGCAAAAATGGGTTTAGAATGCACTCAGCACCAAAGTGTGCTTGAGTGTAGCAGGTAGACAACAAGAGCATGTGGACAACGAAGGCTGGCACTCTGAGTGCGCCGAGTAAACCACTGTAAACCTACCTCTGCCCACCCCGTTGTGTGAGTGTGTGAGTGTGTGTACACATATAAATGCGTACTTTTGAAAGCCCAGGTTGAGAGTGAGAGATTTTCCACACCTTTGCTGTGTTGCCTTTCTCTTCCCTGCTGTAGAGATTACTTATACCATGACTTCGATAATATTCATTACCTTATATTTTTATCATTTTGCTATCTTTATGAATCCCTAATTAATGTGGAGGAATCATTTAATTACTTCAGCAAGTATTTACTGAGCAAGTTCTAGGTACCAAGCAGTTCCATGTGCATTGGCTGCATTAATGAACAACAAAAATCAAAGACTATCCTCAAAGAACATAGAGGATGGCCAAGAAGATGCAAGCTATGGTTAAAAAAAACAGCAGAACAGGAGAAGAAGGAACCAGGGCTGCTGGTGGGTGCTTGAAACATCAGCGCAGTATTCTTTCTTGCTTCTTTCATTTAACACTGTGAAATTTTGTCACTGTAGATGCATGTGGTTACAGTTGGCTGAGTTCACTGCTGTGTTTTAATTTATATCATGCATACGTCACAAGTAATTTATCCTTTCTTTTTTGTTTGAAACTTGGACTGTTGCCAGTTTTGGACTGTGCGAAGCAGCCGCTCTGTGAACATGGCCGTGTGTGAATCCTGGTGCATGTGTGTGGGCGTTTCCCACAGCAAATCCCTGGGAGGGGAATTTCAGGGGAATAGTGTTCCCACATGTCTGCTGTACAGAGTTGGCCCAACTACTTTTTAAAGTGATTGGCAAATGTATACCCCCACAAGCAGTAAATGGGAGTGGTTTTTCACATCGTTGCCGACTCTTGGTTGGTTGTCATTTGCTAAGTCACCAATCTGATGGAGATGGAATTCTCTCACTACATTTTAATTTTCAGTCCCCTCATTTATAATGCAGGTGAGCATCTTTTCAGATGTCACTCGGCAGTTGAGATTCCTAATTTTTAAACTCTTCTGGATCAAGTCTTGCTCATGTTGTTGTATAGGTTTGTTTGCATTTTTTCTTATTTATTCATGGTAATGCTTTACAAGTTTTGGACGTTAATCCTCTTATGTTGTTCCTAGTTCTTTATTAGAAATAATATAAATGTTCAAAAGTAGGAATGAGTTACACAAAATGTGGGCTATTCACACAGGGAAATCGTATGCAGCAATATACACCACGTAGAACATTCACAGAAGTGGAAACAATGTTCATGTTATTCTGATAAATTAAAAAGAGCTCCAGAAAAGCAAGATGCCGTTTCTATAAAAAATTATTCATAAGTACAAAAATACTTGGAAGAACTTGTAGAAAGAAGGTAGTAGTTATAATTTTGGAGGGAATACCTTTGATGGCTAGAAAAATAACTTGTTTAGAGGTTAGAGCAGGGTAGTGTGATATTTTTTCATACACGGTTTTGTAAAACAGAATTTTCCTCCCTTAATCTTAAAGACAGAGTATTCCACCTGTGAGAGCAGAATCGGCAAATTTAACCACTACCTGATGAAATAATTCCTGGCCCGTGCATATTTTTTCTGGTGAATTGGCAACACGTGCTTTTTGTGCACAGATGTGTTTAAAGTCTATATCAGCTCATTTCTAGCACACTTTCGTCAAATTATCTGACTTTACTGTTCCAATCTCAGCTCAGTATCTTCAGCTGTAACCTGTGGCATAAGAGGGCATTGCCGTGTGGGGAGAAATGGTACTGGTGTGCTGTGCAGTGGGGAGCCCAACTAGAAGCATGTTCTCATGGTGGCACACGTACTCTCTGACCACTAGAGAGACTGATCTTGTTTCTCTTATCCTCATGCTGAAAGATGACAGCCACCATTCCTTCTAGCTAAGACGGTGTAGATGAGCTGTGAGCTGTGGTTTGCACGAGTTTGGGATGTGACAAGGTGAAGAGGAAAAGAGGGTCAGAAGAGCCTGTGCCATGTTCTGGTTTTAGTCCACTTTTGTAGAGCGTGAATAAACTGTCTTCAAAAATTTGTGCAAAGAATTAACTCTGGTCATAGAAATAGATTGTATTCCTGGCACATACTCTATTAGGTTAAATATTTTTAAAATATTTTTTTTACTCTATTAAGACTTGTTGTTTTTTGGGTCTGTGTTCATCAGTGATGCTGACCTTCATTCTGTACTTGTCCACTAGCCTGAGTTAGAAGGATTTCAAGGATCTGCCCCCTTTTACAAATACACTTCCCGAAATAGTTTGTAGAAATTGGAATTACCTGTTTTTTGAAGGTGTAGTAGAACTTTCTTTCTAAAACCTTTGGGGCCTGGGTCCCATTTGAGGGCTTCATCTTTAGTTACCATTTCAACTTATGATTTGGTTATTGATCTTGTCAAGTTCTTTCATGTCTCTTTAGGTCAATTTTTATCACTTACATTTTCTTAGAAAATTGGCCATTTAATGAAGCTTTTAAAATTTATTATAAGTTTTACACAATATATTATTAAATTTGGTCTTTTTTAGAAACCAGCCTGTGATTTTATTGATCAGCTTGAGACAACCAGTCTCCTTCCCTCTTGTCTTCTCTTCTTCCCTATCTCTCTCTTTTCTGACCTTTCAATGTTCATACTGTTAATTTTTAGCAATAATTTTTTCAATTGCGCTTTTTTGGTATTTGTTATTTTGTCTAATTTGTTTCTTGAATTCAAAGGTTAGTTTTTTATTTTTATTTTATTTTTGAAAAAGAGCTGTGAATAGCAAACGTGTACCTATTTACTGGTCAAAAACTAGCTTTATCATAAATCAACTTTGTCAAATACTAATATTATTCTCTACAAGTTTTTCAAACGTTCACCTAACCCCACTTCCTGTTACACCTCTTCCCTTTTAGGAAAGACCTACATTAGTACCTGGGTTCATTAACTGAAAGAAATCTGAAAAGGATTTTCACTTTTATGGAAAAAGGGGGAAAATGAAAATAGCATTCAGCATTTGTTTCGCGTCACTGTTAGAGGGCAGTGTGCGCCCAGGCCAGTGAGAGCGGCCCCACCGAGCTCCTTTATGGGAACCGTGCTCGGCACCTCAGCCTGCAGCTGTAGCTTTGAACTGCATCTGTGCACATCTGTGCTTTCTCTCGATTTGTTGTGTTCATCTGTCAGCAAGATATGTCTGTCCTGAGGTATCTGGAAAGCCTGAGAGAGCTTAGCGTAAAACTGGACATAATTAAGTGTTTCAGTTGTGGTGAATGAAGTAAAAACATTGTGCATGTGTTGACTTTAGGGTTTCAGAACACTCAAGAAATTTTTCTTTTAAATTAACAGTAATTTCTTCTTCGCTTTATGTCACTTCTGCTTGTGAAAGGTTTTATAGGAATGCTTTACTTCCGGAGACTGAGGGGAACCTGTATATGCTTCTTTTCTTTAGAGAAATCAACTCCATAGGTACCGTTGATATTTTACTCATTTTCAGTTATTGTTTTTTAAAAATAATTTTTATTTTTCAATTAAAGTTGAATGTTATATTTGTATAATGTATATATTACACTAGTATATTAGTTTCAGGTGTGCAAACATAGTGATTTGTATACCTGAGCTTACAAAGTGATCACCCTGATAAGTCTAGTACCCATCTGATACCGTGCATAGTTATTACAATATGTTACTTTTATTCATTTATTTACTTTTGGATAGAGGAAGGGAGGGAGAAAGAGAGGGAGAGAAATAACAATGTGTGGTTGCCTCTCGCACGCCCCCTACTGGAGATCTGGCCTGCAACCCAGGCAGGCGCCCTGATTGAGAATTGAACCAGTGGCCCTTTGGTTCCCAGGATGGCACTCAGTCCACTGAGTCACAGCAGCCAGGGCAATGTTACTATTTTTTAATAAGTATTTAAGTTTAAAAATTTTTCCCCCGAATAGTACTTTGGACAAACTCTGTAGGTTTCAACATAGAGTGTTATATTATGTTTTGTTTAGTGAAACTGAAACCTCAAAAAAAAAACCCAAAAGATAATTTCTAGAAAGGACTTGTTTTAGATTTTGTAAATTTAGTCTTTATTCCACTTCTCTCTGTTGAGTCATCTCCACTCTTCAAAACCAAAATTTATTCAAATTTCAAAAAATATTTTTCAGTGAGAAGGAAAAAAAATCTCTTGCAACACGCGAAGATGTAATCTGCTCATCGTGTTTCATCCATCCGAGGCTTCTTCGCTCTCTTGCTCCTGCGCGTACGCGGTGCTGCCCTCTAGTGTGCAGGGGGACACTGAGATACTTGTGTGGTTTACGTTTGCTGTTATCTGAAGCTGGGAATTAGTGTTTCTTTGTATCTGATTTCATATAAAACATTAAGTTAAATTACCCCGAATGCAGGAGATCAGGTTTTAGCTGAAATAAAAGTATAGGAAAAGTATAGATTTAATACCTATTTCTTGAGCATTCTTT